CGCAGTCCTGGGAACAGCTAAGATACTGCGCAGGACCCTCAAGCTCCCAGGCCTCTGGTAGAGGACCCGAGCTTGAAGGATAAACCGCCCGCAGGGGCGTGCTGGGTGTTTTTATATATATATATATATATATTGAAGGAGCTGTCCCGTCCCTGCAAAAATCTGTTCCAACCTGTGCAATCAGGCAGGTTCTGCAGCATCTGCGCAAGGACAGAGGGAGTCAAGAGGAGCTTCTATCCCCAAACTAAACCAGAACATGAAAGGCTTTAAAAGCAAATTAAATCATTTTAAAATGAATTCTAAAATGAATGGGCAGCCAGTGAAGTCAAGCTGAAAAAGTGGAAATGTGCTCAAACTTTGGAGAGCCAGTTAAAAGACGAGTCGCAGCATTTCGCGGCCTCTGTGGATGAGGAATGTATGAAGCACTGGCTCCTATATAAAGTGCATTACAGTAATCCAGCTAATGCTAACAAAGGTGTTGACAACTGTCTCAAAGAGCTGCAGTGAAAGAATTGCTTTATTTAAGCCAGCTGCATGAGCTGAAAGAAGCCTGACTTTATGACGGCCTTAATCTGAGTCCACTTTGACTCCCAGGTTTGTGACAGTTGGCTTATTGTGCTGGGCCAAGGTATCTAAATATACATTGGGGATCTCAGTGGGGCTACCAAAAACCATCACCTCAGTCTTTTTGTCATTGAATTTTAATCCAGTGCCCACTGAAAAATGGTTTGGATAAACTAGAATCGTATTTATTGTCTTGTATTTCAAACAAACCTCTGGCACAACCAGGTCAAGGCGGCCATGACCTGCTGGGTTTGGACAACCCAGCAGGTCATTGATTAGTCTGCTGACTTAGCTTCAGGATACAACAAGCAATTCTTCTTGGCTTCTGGTTTGTCCAGCAGATATCTGGACAAAGACTTCAAATTCTTGTTATTGCTCATTGTTTATGAAAACAGAGAATTTAAAAACAACTGAATAAAAAGTCATGTCTGGATTATATTTGATGATGTGATGCATTTTCAGCAGATGGACTCTTTTGTTCTCCTCACAGACTGTTTACCTGCATGAAACCAAAGCTGCATGTAATTGGTCAGAAGCACAAACAGAGAGCAGAAATCTTGTCCTGTGATTCCAGATTTGACATATTTAGATACAAAAAGTGTTTTTTTCTATCAGAGAGAAAAGAAGGTGACAGAAAGATGAGGCACCGTGACTGATTCATCCTCTATAAACATCCACAGGAAACTGATGGAAATGTGTCCAACAACATCAGCGTCCTAATGAGCCGCTGCTAGAAGGACAAGATCCTGACCTGACATCAGTCCAAGTGTCTGGTTAAATGTACTGAAAGGTGTTAAACAACAAGTGCTGCTGGAAGAGTTTTCATGAAGAGAACATTAACACTGTGAATGAGGGATGGACTTTGACTCAGTTTGACACAATCTGTTTTTCTTTCACTTTGAATAAATGTTTTTGTGGGACTGAGGATACATTTGTTTACATTTGGAAGTTTGATGTCATCTGTTCCTCTTGTTTCTGTCTTAAAACAGGATGAAAAATCTGTTTAAACAGAAATAAATAGAATTGAATTTCTGACAGCAGTAAATAAAAATGGTCCCTGAGCTCAGTATGTTTGTGACTCTGAGATGGAGGTGAAACATGTGAAGCTGGCTGTGGTTTACTGCTCTCTTCCTGTCACAGACACTGTTTGACATCTGTTCATCTGTTGGTTTTTGTTCAGGCTGCAGGGATCATTTCTCACTGTGGGGAGATTGCTTCAAACAGTTGCAGTAGTAGGTGGCTGAATGATCAGGTTTAACTTTCTTAATCTCTAACTCCCAGCCTTTCCCTTTGTTCAAAGATGAGAAATCATCTTTTTCATAGCCTGATAGGACTTGACCGTTACGTTTGTCAAAAACAAAAATAAATTTGAATGTTTCGTTTTCTTTCTTCTGGTACCAGAATATCCAGTTGCGATCACACTGTTCAGTCCCTCCACAGCTGAAGGAGACACTTTGTCCAACTCTCCTGGTCAATGTTAAATCGTCCTGAATCAGCTGTTCTGCTGCCATGGTAACCAGTGCTGTAGAGACACAGACAGATAGATGAAGGTTAGTGTGACAGTGTTTGTTACAGGTTGACTTTGTTGGCTCCTGATTGGCTGGAAACACTCACCTGAACACAGACAGCACAGAGCAGCAGCTGGGAGGAAAAGCATTTTGTGCAGTGGTGTTTCCTCTGGTGAACCTGGGGAGAAGTGGCGCTCTGATGCAGCTGAGGCCAAACAAGGACGAGCTGTGAGATCAGACGAGGGCCACGTGGTTTCTAACAGGTCCTCAAAGCTCCCATCAGCCCCTGCGGCCCACAGATAAGACTGCTGCTGCTGATTGACAGCTCAGCTGAAGCTGCTGTGGTTTCATCGTCTTCATTTCAATCTGACAGCAGATCCAAAAATCTGGGTCACATGATGCACAAACACTCAGAAACATTCATGTTGCTGTGAATTTAGTAACACACACTGTTATCTGTGGTTTAACAGCTGTGATGAAAACACTAAATATTCAAACTAAATATAACTAAACTATAAATAAATAGAAAAATCTAAAAAAAGATAATATGGTTAAATATTTTAAAAGTTCATAAATTGCACACAAAGTAGTTAAAAATAAAATCATATATAACAATATTTAGAGTAAAAATCTTATTTGAAACAAACACATGTGGTTCTGTTGTGTGTTTAAATATGTGCACACTGTGGTTCTGTTGTGTGTTTAAATATGTGCACACTGTGGTTCTGTTGTGTGTTTAAATATGTGCACACTGTGGTTGTGTTGTGTGTTTAAATATGTGCACACTGTGGTTCTGTTGTGTGTTTAAATATGTGCACACTGTGGTTCTTTCCCACATCTTCTAATGTGTTTTGTTCCAAGTTGGTTTCAGACTGAAGGATTCATTAAAGCCTTTTTAAGAATCATTAAAATGATGATCATCAATTCTAATATCTATAAACAGTAATAAAAACAGGGCTGTGTTTCACGTCAGCTTCATTTATTTGTAGCCATGGTTAGATTTCATCTGCAGCAGGCAGTCATCCACCTTTACACACACATTTACACAACAGTACAAAAGCAGTAATATTTGGAAACATCTCTGTGATCTCTATAAGACAAAAGGATGGGAGAGGCTGGTGTGGTCTCAACACTGTTCACAGTGTTTCCTTCAGTGCTGCTGACAGCGTCTCACAGCGTGGTGTGATACCTGATACCTTGTAAATGAGTCATTTACCTCAGAGCCGATTTTTAGGCTCTCGCCTTTAGTTCATGTTTGTTTTTATCACTCGTTGTCGTCACACCGAACCTCCTGTAATAAACTTCACTTAATTCTTCGCCATCGAGCGTCTGAGTTTGTCTGCGCCTGAGTCCACTCCTCCATGACAACATCTGTTTCATATTTGCTCTTTTTCACTTCATAGTAAATCACTTAACTTGTTAGAGATTATTTACCCTGACATAAAACACAAATCTGTGGAATAAATCTCATCAGATTTTATATTTGCATTTAAGATTTTAAAATCACAGATTCTTTAAAAGCGTCACTAAAGTTCAGCGAATTTCTAATTTGTCCTCCTGCACTTGTGTCAAATATGGACACGCCTTTGTCCTCATGAAGGTTTGCCTTCACTCAGACCCATGCCCTGCTGTTCCTACCATGCCAACATACAGACACATGTCAGGCAATGAGTTGGAATAAAGTTGAATCAAACCTTGAAACACAGAGATGGATGATATTTTATACCTTTCATTTATAAACAGTCAAAGCAGACGGGGTCATTTTTGAGCCCAAAGGAAAACCTGATTATTTGCTGCCAGTAAAAAACTTGAAGTCGTTTAAAAACAGCTTCCTACATTAACTTTGACATAAAGCCGTCTGTGATCATCTGTTAAAGCGACCGACTCTGGTTGGGAAACAATGATCACAATAACTGATCATTTCATGTATTTTTTACACTGAATTGATCGACAATTTATACTTTAAAAACACTGAAATGAAGTGGGGACATTTGTGACCCTGAGGACCACAGGTGTGTGGAAATCGGGACATTATGAGGGTTAAATCTTAATATTCATATCAACAGAATTTACAGCACAGCGTGGGTGAACTTAATAAATATTCAGCACTGGTTCAATCATCAAATTGATGAATGTTCTTTGTTTGAGTTTGTCTCTCTGTGCTGCTCTTAATTATAATAATTATGTTTTATTTCAATTATATTATTTGTATAAATTGTACTAGTCTGAATAATTAAGCTGATTAATCAATGACACATTTTGATTAAACATTTTACGTATTTATGATTATTAGAAAAAGATGGAAAGATGCTCAACATCCATCTGAACTGATGGTGTTTTGTGAAATTGTTTTTACAAATCTTGTCTTAATTTATTCCCTTTTTCAGTGTTTTTAAATCATAACGGTTCAACTTGAGTTCTGTGGGATTTAATGTTCAGACTTCATCTTGTATTTGTCTTTTGTGATCGTACTAAACATCAACTGTGTAACAGCTCTGAGTTCACACTTTGTTTCTCTCACACACATGAACACAGATGCTTCCTGAACAACTTGAAGCAGAGTTCATGCTTGTAACTGTCGTTGTGTTATTAAAGTGAAAGCCACAGCTAACGGTGTGGAGGCTGCAGAGCAGAAACCCACACAGCCCGTCTGCTGCAGGAGAGCAAGTTTATGATCTGTGAATGCTGCAGTCACACAGGTTATGTATCACAGAAGAAATGAGAAATGCATTCTTAAAATCACAATCTTTATTTTTACTTCAGACAAATAACTACACTGTTATTTTGTTATGGTGGGATCTGAATGCATCAGTTTTTCTGCAGAGATGTACAAAAGAAATCTTCACATAAAGAATCTACACTTTTACAAACACATCAAACATGTTTCTTTGTAAATTTATGTTACACAGTTTAAGATGATTAAATGAGAAAAGGTCAAATGCTCAGTAATGAAACATTGAAGCAACCAGAAGTTAATTTACATTTCTGACTGCTGACTGGAGGAAATCTGATGGTGAGAAAAGGCGAGCAGGAAACAGTCAGTCAGCATGTGTGCAGTTGGTGGACGCTCCCTTGTTTGTGAGCATCATCAGCAGAGAGAGTCCACAGCAGTACACCAGACTCTTCACTATCAGCACTGTGTACAGCAGGCAGAGCAGCTTCACCTCGTGTATAGAAGGAAGAGAAGGAAGATACAGGACTGGTGGAAGAGCTGGAAGCTCTGAAACAGAAAAGGAGTCAAATGTTTGGAGCTGCAGTGAGAAATGTCAGTCCTCTGCTGCTCTGCTCTCTTTGACAGCATCTCCACATGAAGCTGAATCACTGCTGAACACAGTCACCAAGCCTTCATTACCTTGTTGTGTTTGGGCCTCCACTGTGCCCCCCTCGTGCTTCACCCAGCAGCTGTATTTATATGTGTCAGAATGGCTCCCATCAACCATCCTGATGGCAATGGTGCGTCCCGCCTCTCTGAGCTCCAGCTGCTCTCCCTCAGCAGGGGGCAGCTCCTCCGCTTCTCCGCCGTTCTTCTTCTGTCTTTTCCAGGAGAACTGGACCAGAGGAGGAAACATGGCTGAGGCCACACACAGCAGGGAGCTGTTCCCCTCCAGGTGGGCTCTGGATGCTGCTGGGTACACGCTCACCACGGGCTTCACTACCTGCTCATCTGAAGTTTGACAGCAGCAACAAGCAGCACAGACACACATTCACACAGTCAGCAGCAGCTTCCAGCACTGCACTGCATTCAGTCTGATCCTGGAAACTACATGGACTCTGATCACTAAACTACTCATCAGCACAAAGTTCACTACATACACTGGATTCAGCTTCATATCAAACACAGTCATCACCTCATGTCATCATGGCTCACATGAGGAACACTCAGCATGATTTTACATCATGAAATAAAATGTATTTCTTCTCTTTTATTTTCTTGGCTTTACTTCACAATGTAATTTATCACAACTCTAAATGTATATATAGAGATTTGTCTTTAACTTTTCAAATATATTTCCAATCCCAAACACATTTCAACAGAGTTGATCTTCTTCCATAAAATCCATTAACCTTTTTAACTTTATTCTGCACTGAAATTATGTAAATTTTAAATAGTCTTTAAAGACATGTTTTATATTTGTTACAATAAATAACATTCTTCTTTCAGAGACTTTAAAATTCTTAAATCTTTTACTGCAATAATTGGATCAGCTTTAATTTTATTATTTGGTTTGATTGTTATTTTCTTCCATATTTAAATTAATTATTAAATAAAATTAAATGCAATTTAGCTAAATTTGAGAGATAAATAAATCCTTTATTTGGCCATTTGATTTAATTTATTATTATTTTTAATTAAAAAATTACATCTTGTGAATGATTGTCTATTTACTTTTACATATTTTTCAAAGACATATTTACAGGTAACATTTTTGAACTTTCATTATTATTTGTCATTTTGACTCATTAAACCTGACTAGCAATTTCATATTTTATCCAGTATTTTCCATCACATTTTAGACGTTTAACATTTCACTGATCAGTATCTATGACAATTAATAAAATAATGTTTTTGGAAAAAAAGACTTTTTGGACCAACATGCTATATCGTTCACTATTAAAAACATATCTACATTTTCTTCTTAGCAAAATTCATATTTACAAATCTGTTACTGTATTAATTTGAACATCAAATATGATCTTGTGTTAAAAACCAGCAGAATCACTGAGAGGATCAAATCCTAAATATTTGTAACATCACTAATATTTGCAGAAATAAAGAATAACTTTAGTTGTTCAGTGAGATTTCAACATGTTTTCAGAGATTATTGAGCTTTTCTTATGTAACAATGGCTGCAGATGAATTCTCCTATTTTAGTTTTTGAAAACCTAACATCTAATACCTGCAACAATAGAAGCTGGCTTTTAAAATATTTTCAGCTTCTACAATAAAACAACAGAAGGAAAATTCTTTGTTCTTACCTGTTACATAGAGTTTAGTTCCAGAGCCAAAGATTCTGTTTCCCACAGTGAGACAGACTGCTACAAAAACCTGTCTGCTGTTGAACGTGTCAGCTGAGGTGAATGAGTCCAAATGAGGAAGCAGGATCATATTTCAGCTCCATGATGTGTTTCTCTAATGTTCATATCAACATGACTGTCTCTTCTTCTCTTTTCTTTAATGCACATGGATTCTTCATTAACTGATTCTGAATTTTTGATCCAGGTCAGCATTTGAGGTCTGGACTGAAACACCTGACATGAATAATGCAACTGTAATTTACAGGCTTCTGTTTAGTCTGCTTAAAATGTAGTTATTCATGGCAGTCAGTCAACTTTGTGTCAGCATTATATGGCTCACAGTCTACACTCAATACAGGATGACATACAGACTCCTTTTTGATAAAGTTAGCTATAACTGGATCAGGTGACCCTGAATCCTCCCTGAGTTATGCTGCAATCCCGTGATGCACTGAACATTTCTCCTTCTCTCATGTCGTCTTCCCTTACTGTGTTTTATACACCACTCTGCATTTTATTATAAGTTATTATTAATCTCTACCTCTCTTCCACAGCATGTCTTTTGTCATGAATAACACACTGCTGGTAAATACAGAAAGTGGCAACTAAAAGGTTAAGTCTGCTGTCATCTCCCTGCTCCTTTACAAAAACATACATACATCCAGCATTTTGTCACTGTGTGGGTGGCGTAGGTGCAATCTTGAGTATCAGTGTCAAGTTGCCAAGTCAATCAAACATTTGTGAAGTTAGTTCCTGATGTTTATTTCTTATAGCAGAATCTCTTATGTCGCATTAAGTTTCTACTGCCAGCAATATGACGGCATTTCAAAAAAGAAGAATTTAGACTGGGTTACCTCGCTGAATCCTTTTAGACAAGGGACTCGGTATCTGATTGCGTCCCAAATAAGTGGCCTTCTCCAGAGCCCATTGTAATGTGGAGAAGCTCACTTTGCGATTTTTTTTCCAGGAAAACTGTTGCATAGTGCTGTTACAGTCCTGGCTGAGGCAGACTGTATGTGTTGTGAAAAAAGGACTCAAATGCAGAAACAGAATGTGGAACGTGATGGGGACTAACAGAAAACAAGCAGTTTATCAAGGCTGAATAAATACAAATAAAGGGCATGGGTGAAACTTAGTGATGTGACGTTCTGTATCGAGGCTTCGAAGCTTGTGTTGTCACGGCGAGTGAGGTGAGCCGTGTGGAGGAAATGAAGGAGGATCCAAGTGCAGGCAGTCGTGAAGGTGTAAAGGTGGTTTATTGAACATGAAAGTAAATACAAACGGCAAATGGAGCTGGAACTAAACTATACTGGGATCAACTAAACTACAGAGCACAAACCTTAACGAGAACGACCAGAAGAGACTAACGGCGGACAGCAGGAAGAACACACGGGTGAGACATGGTAGAAACGCAGATGAGGCAGGGTGGAATACACAGGTGGTGGACACAGCTGGGAATAATCAACAAGACGAGACAAAGGTAAAACCGAACACACTTACATGAGACCCAGACCTTCACAATAAAACAGGAAATGAGAACACCACACCAAGACGCAGACCTGACACTGAGAGACAGACAGAATGACACATGGAACCTGAACTAAACTAAACGTGAGATACAACCGAGAACAAATCCTTAAACATGAACCTCAAATAATAAACATCATAACCATCATCATAAACACAACAAGAGAACAAGAAAACAATCCCTGATGCAAACCAAAACCAAAACATAATAACCTCAAACATGGAATAACAAAAACATGAAACTCCACATACTGGGTCCAACGGACCCAGACCCGTGACATGTGTCGAGTAATTGAGGGGGCGTTTCCGCGATGCGCGTATCGAGGCTTGCTTCATTTATGGGAGGAGCTGAAAATGATGACGTCCGAAGCCTCGCTGCCCGGCTGTACCACGTGACTGGTTCATGAAGTGGTTCGAACTTTGCCGCGAGATATGACAGCGATATAAAGCCCTCAGACTTCATTCAAAATGTGGGTGTTTGATGGAGAGTTGCGGTTAGTGAGAGTTTGGAGACAGTTTGGAGGTTTATGAGAGTGAGGAGAGAAAGTCAGGAGAGAATGGAGCCAGCTAAGAAGAGGAGGATGTCCTCCCCTGTGTGGGAACATTTTGATTTTATTCCTCCCAACAAGGTATGTAAATTTCTACAGAAGATGTATTTTCATAATCCTGATGGTGCAATACAATTTATGTTAAGCTGTCTTGACTTTTGTACAAGGTGAAGTGTTTGCTATGTGCCAGGGAGCTGGGATATAACAACAACACCTCATCCATGCTTAGGCACTACAGAGCTTTGCATGAGAATAAGGGGAACACTGATTGTGGAGCAAGACCAGGTGAGCCATCAAATGCAATGATAATATAGCATGCAGTAATGTTACTAAATGATATAACAATATTATACAACTGTTATAAGTTACGTGTGTGATATTTATATTTGTGCTTTGTCTTTATTGTCTCTCCTCAGGAGAACAATCTCAAATAGATGAAGACCTGGTCAGCATGGTGATTGAGGACTCCCAGCCATTTAGCATTGTGGAGGACAAAGGATTCAAAAGATTTGTTAAATCATTAAATCCTAGCTATGTTCTCCCCACTAAAAAGGCCATAAAAGCAGTGAAAATTTAGTTTTTACAGAATGAAATGTGAACAGGCAGGACTGAGGCTCAAAGCCTCAGTGTGTAGCTGTCCATACCTCAACGTTACAAAAGCACAACCACTGTCCACACCCCAACCACACCTCACCTCACAGTAAATGATCATTTCCATTTTAAGCATTTCCAAATGATCATTTTCCATACTGCCAGTATAAATATACACAGTGTACTGCCATCACTACAATATACATGTTTTACACACTCCTTTTGTTGTTGACTGTTACGCCCCAGTCTAGGGGTACAGGAACGCAACATAAGTTTGAAAAGACTGCCCCGCCCTGGTCCCCAAAGCCATACACAGAGGGAAACCAATTCCTTAGTGAATCGTGTTTTATTATCTACACTGCAAAAATGAAGCTCCAGGGTGAACAAAGGCCAAAATAACAAACAAAACAAGCTAAGTCAGGAGGAGGTGCTATCTCAAACCCTATGTGAAATCAAACATCAAACAAAAGACAAGCGCTACACCTAACTCCCTAACTGAGATAAACAGGAGAAAACAGTGCAAGGAAAAACAATATGGCAGCTCACCCCTTCTGTTGCAGTGCTATTTACAATGTGCTATGTACAATGAAAGCTAATATACACACTATATACAAAACTCAGAAAGGCCGCAAAAATCACAGGCACAAAAGTCTCAGGTTTTGGAGGCCAGGGTCAGGTCTGCTGCTGCTGTCAGTGGCTGCCCCAGGACAACTGCTGGTGAGGGATTTGAAGAAGATCACATGGCCAGGGGACCAATCAGCAGCCGTCAGCTCATCCACTCCAGGACCTGCAAAGACTTAAAGGCACAGACAACAACAGCCACCAAAACAGATTATGGACAGGGCCATAACATTGACATTTACAGGCTGTCTGCAAAAGGCCACACTCTTCAAATTCATGCCAACTAATATTTTTACGTCCAGTAGGTGTCCTACTAGAGCAAATGAAGCTTCAAGAAGCTTTGCGCTGGGGTGAACCAATTGGATGAAAAGCTTCAGTGCTTCATGAAGCTTCATCTGCCCATCACTAGTGAAACTAAACAATAACCTACACTGGGTGAAGTAAAATAAAACATGGAAAAAAGAAACAACCTTTAAACATGAAGAACTGGTGTGGATACCCGGAGACACGATGCGGACGAGTAGACAACCTGACAAGGAATGACTGAAAACACACGGACTAAATACACACAGGTGGATAATGAGGGAAGTGGGAACACATGGGGAAACAGTTGACACACATGAACATAACGACGTCACAAGGGGAGTGTAAAACTAAACACATAGAACACAGGACCTCTTCAAAATAAAACAGGAAACATAATGGAAAGCAGACATGACAACATGAACTTGACAACAAAAGACATGCAGACATGAAACACATAAAGGAGAAAGGAGACTTAACACAGGGGTTAAAAACACGAGGGGGAACTAAAAAAAGAACTTAGATAACCTAATGAACTGAAATAAACCATAAACATCAACATAAACTAAAATTCAAAACACTGGGTCTTCAGGGGTTTTTCTGAAACAAAACCTTTTTGTTTCAGAAACATCTAAAAAGGAAGAAACCTCAAGCAGAACCAGGCTCAGGGAGGGGCGGGGCCATCTGCTGCGACCGGTTGGGGTGAGAGAAGGAAGACAGGATAAAGACATGCTGTGGAAGAGAGACAGAGGTTAATAACAGATATGATTCAATGCAGAGAGGTCTATTAATACATAGTGAGTGAGGAAGGTGACTGGAAAGGAAAAACTCAATGCATCATGGGAATCCCCGGCAGCCTACGTCTATTGCAGCATAACTAAGGGAGGATTCAGGGTCACCTGGTCCAGCCCTAACTATATGCTTTAGCAAAAAGGAAAGTTTGAAGCCTAATCTTGAAAGTAGAGATAGTGTCTGTCTCCTGAATCCAAACTGGAAGCTGGTTCCACAGAAGAGGGGCCTGAAAACTGAAGGCTCTGCCTCCCATTCTACTTTTAAATACTCTAGGAACAACAAGTAGGCCTGCAGAGCGAGAGCGAAGTGCTCTAATAGGGTGATATGGTACTACAAGGTCATTAAGATAAGATGGGGCCTGATTATTTAAGACCTTGTATGTGAGGAGCAGGATTTTGAATTCAATTCTGGATTTAACAGGAAGCCAATGAAGGGAAGCCAAAACAGGAGAAATCTGCTCTCTCTTTCTAGTCCCTGTCAGGACTCTTGCTGCAGCATTTTGGATTAGCTGAAGGATTTTCAGTGAGTTTTTTGGACATCCTGATAATAATGAATCACAGTCGTCCAGCCTGGAAGTAATAAATGCATGAACTAGTTTTTCAGCGTCACTCTGAGACAGGATATTTCTAACTTTAGAGATGTTGCACAAATGGAAGAAAGCAGTCTTACATATTTGTTTAATATGTGCGTTGAAGGACATGTCCTGGTCAAAAATGACTCCAAGGTTCCTCACAGCGTTACTGGAGGCCAAGGTAATGCCAT